GCCAATAAATTCTGTTCTGTTCTGTTCTGTTCTGTTCTGTTCTGTTCTGTTCTGTTCTGTTCTGTTCTAACATATTTGAATCAGCAGCATTTCAGCTTCAGAGACATTTAAACTGTTAAATTATTAAAAGTGATTGCCAAATCTTACGAGACCAAAAAAACCTACAATTAATTTTAGGAATACTTGTCAGTAAATCACTTCAATATACAAATATTAAAGTGAGTGGAAGAAAGAATTAGAGATCCTCATTTCATATAAACCAGTATTTCTCAACTTTTTTTTGCCTTTGGCCCCCTTCTGACCTTGTTTTTCTCTTGTGGTCCCCCTGGCCGGGTTCCATTATTGGATACAGACATAGGACAGTAACTGGTGCATTTTCTGGCATCAGCAAGACAGTATTTGCAGCAAAAGACACTTTGCTTTTCTGTGCCCCCCCTTTACATGTTTTCCATCTGTGGCCCCCTTGAAATATCCTAGGCCCCCAGGGAGCATGTGGCCCCTGGTTGACAACTGCTGGGGTAAACCGTCAGAGATTGTTGATAATTTGAATATTTATCACACACAAGATGGTATCCGTGGTTCGGTAACATCTTCCTTGGAGCAAAACGACACAAAGCGGTGAACAAGGTTTTAACAAGTCCTGGGGCATGGATCATGATGTTTTCTGAACAGAGGTACAACCACAGTATGTGCAAAATAAGCTTCCTTTTGAATGTACAACTTTGAAATTAGGGATTTGAAACTTGAGCAACTTCAATATATGCCTGGGGCTAGTAGCATTGCCTTGTGCTTGAAGGAACGGTTCCTGTAGTAGGGTCCATCTCACTTCCCATCCCATTGTAGCAATGGGTTGTCATGTTAAAGGAGTCCTAAAACAGAACTGACAACACACCAGCATTAGGAATTTAGAAAGTGGCAGTGGCTTGCCTCTGTGGTAAACACAGAACCTCAGGGAAACTAGGAATTTATACTCTTTGGTTATTATTATTATTTTAATGGAGGAAAGGATATATGTTAAGCATAAACCTGGGAAGATGGGATAAAAAATTTAGTTACTGGCTGGCATGCAAGATCTTATCAGCTGGCTCTTCTCCATGTTTAGCTGTTGGTCAGAACATTCAACTGTTGATTGGCTGGTGGTTTTCTGGAAACTCTAGGCATATAGAGACATATAAATACATTCATGTACATTGTACCCAGATGACTAGATAAATCTGGAAAGATTCAGAACAAACTGGATCAACCTAAGGTACGTTGTAAGGCAGATTCAGAGGAGTAGGGGGACTGAAAGGCTGATTTCTGGAAATGCTCATGGTCTACAAGATAAATGAATCAGCCATCTTGCTAAAGCTAAACTTCTCTGACTTTGGCCAGTGCCTGTTAAGACAACACCTGGGAACTTCACATAAACCACCTTAAGTGCTATGGTTCAAGAAATATGAGATATAAATGTACTAAATAAAATAACACAAGGGCGAAAGTAAGAAAAATACTAGCTTGATACTGTAATCAAAATCTCTCTCTTAAGAAGCTGCAGGACCTGCTAAAAGGATTATTTATTTATTTATTTATTTATTTATTTATTTATTTATTTATTTAATTTGTATGCCGCCCATCTCCCCCAGCAGATGACTCTGAGTCACTAGAATAGTGCTAAAGAGTTTAGGATAGGTTCACTCCTATATTTATATGTTTGCAAAATTTCACAGTGTCTATTCACTTTGGACCATGAAAGAATGTTTGCAAAATTCCTTAGTTGAACATATAAGGTTTATTAGAGGACCCTTTATATATAATGTCAGCAGGATGGGAATCACTGTTTTATTGTTTCACTTCATGTCACTTTTATAGCATTCATTTCTATGGATTTTTCTTGCCCCAGTTATAATTTCCATTCTCAGATGGGCAACATTCATGGGGAGGACATCAAGGGACAGTCATCCTGCCCACACAATGCTGGTCTTTTAAATGTTTTACAGCAATAATATGGGACAGAGCCACAGAAAAAACAAATTATACTGTACAAACAGTAACTGTAGATAGGAGCAGCTGCGAGGAATCAAGCTTGCTTTGAGGGAGACTTTACTTTTTTGTTTAGACAGGTTTCACAGAGGGATTAACAGTTGTAGACATTTTATAGATGAGGAAGGAGAAACTCATAGGTTTTAATAAGCTCACTGAATTGTGTCTCCATCACAGTGCTGTAAAGAATTCAGCTCATGCATATCAATAAGACCAAGAAGGTTATTGATGGAGATAGGATGGAGAAATGGATGTGAGTCATCTTGGTGTACTAGTGCCCTGCAAGCTACTGGTAAGATTCCACAAAGAAAAGGATCATTGTGAAGGACTTTGACAGTACCAAATATTGCCTTTCAGCCTGTTTCTCAGAGGTGGTGGGGGATAGGTGTTGTACTGTTAATTCTATTTTGGAAAACCGTTCCTAATTCTTTCCAGTACACTTCATCTTTCCAAATTAACGGATACGAGGAAGCTCCTCACTCAAGAGATTCCTGAACACATAGACTGCCAATGAATTCCTTCCCTCATGTCATTCTATGCATCAATTTGGAGAATCAGCAATATTTATATAGACACTAAAGATGGTACATTTAAGTTGGTTGAATTTTATGAAATGAAATACTGAAACCAAATTTGGACAACTCCAACCAATTTGACATCAGCAATATGCATGGATACACAAATGTTAGAGGCAGTCTCAGGTAGATTTAAATTATACAGACATCAGTGGGGAGGGGTAAGGGACTATACCCCTTGTAAATGTGTGGTCCCACAATAAAGTTTTAGAGTTTTGTTTCAGCATATTTTCCAAATTTCATTGCACTTAGTGTGAGATTCCCTCAATGCTAGAGATTCAGTTTGTCCAGCGTATAGATAAGACTTCTATGGGGAATGTCTGGACCTTTCTAGGCCATAGATAAGTCAGTAGCACTTTCTCCCTCTTCCACATCCATCCTGAATAGGTAACTCAATGCTATATGTCTGTGCAGAAAAGATAGACAATGCTTTAAGAAGCAAAATGCATGTCTGACAGAAAGACAGAGACTTGGTTTTGACCACCATTTTAAAAGTGAAATTTGAAGGGATCAGAGAAACTCAACACTTTTTTTTTCAGTTATGAGATGGGAAGGAAGGTTTTATGTTTCAGAGGATTTAGTGGAGGGTTTCATACAAAATCCTCAGATATCAGGAACGAAGTCAACTCTTTGGGGCACATCTTTACATAGTAAACTGTGTGTATATGAGTCAGGCAAGCATATGGAACTGACATGAGACTGATTTCTTTGTAGGTCTGTTTAGAAAGCACCCGCAATATAAGAAAGTATACATGATTGTTACCCATCTGTCTGGAGGGTAGCATGTTGCATTCCCTTGGCATTTAGAATATTTTCTTCCTCTGCCCCAAAATCTCATTCTGATCACTCCCAGTTTATCTAGTTGCCCACTCCGTTGTTCATGTCTTGCAGCTGTGATTTTCATTTCACTTCATAACAGGAATGTGAAGCCACTGGGTTTTTTTGTTTTTGTTTTTACCTGAACCCTTGATCTGTGCTAGTTCTCTGAGCTTGACTCCACTTTCTAGAAGGCTAGCAACATATTCCATCCATGTCAATGTTTCTTTAGTCCTTCTGTGAAAAGCAGTGTGAAGCCCACTTACTGTATGTCCCAGTCAGGATGTGTAATCTACAGTCATCCTGACTGGGTCAGGAGTCATCACCAGGTTTGTGACAACTGTAGTTCTCAGGAACACTCTGTGAGATTGGCAAATAAGAAATTCAAATAGAGTCAGCTAAGACAGAGGCCCCTGTATATATGTGGCTAAAGACGGTAGTTCAAATGAAGATCTTCATTTCAATTTGAAAATGGGACAGACTTTCTCAGCTTCAACTGATGGTCTGGCCCCTCCTCAGGCAGGATCAAATGACATTCAGTATCATAGACTACCAAGAGAAACAAGCTTTGGCCTTGCCTCTCCTGACCATTTTGGATATATATTCCTTCAACACTTTTATGGAATGAGCAGTAGAGGAAGGTTAAAGGTCTCAAGTCTGCCTTGCCTAATGGTGAGCTTCCAGACTAATAAAAATTCAGGAGACTATTATTTAAATAGCCAGTAGCAAGTTGCTCCAGTGTCAGCTAACAGACCCACTTCTTTGTTGGATCTGTGGAAGGATGTTAGAAAGAAATTAAGAAAAGTTATGCTGCAATGTATTAGGGGATAAATTGGTTCTAAATGGGAAATACTGTCACTGAAATTATCGTAATACCATCTCTATCTCAATAAATCTTGCTTGGAAAGAATTATTTTCTGTTTGACACTTCTGCCAAAGAGACTGAGCCTTGGGTGACTGTGGGAAAAGGAAGTGGAGAAGATGTTTCTGTCCTCCCACCTCCAGGTTTCCTGAGGCACTCAGTTCCTGACATGATATAGTAGTTAAGCTATGAAGACTATGAAGACATCAACATCTACAGTAGCCACCTGGGAACAGTCTGAGGCACCTCAGGAGAAAGACCTGTAGATTGAGGGGCACAAGAAAAGTGTTCAACTATGTAAAAGCATATCATAGAGGAAGAATAGCAGCTTACTTGAGCAAAGAAACAGCTGTGAATGTGGGCTGTAGAAAAAATGATCTAACATGTATATTACAGAGAGCTTCTTTGTTTAAAAAATATTGGGAAATAGCTCAGGTGATGCTGTAGAAATGTTCCCTAGGGTTTTTAAAGAAGGCAGTGGATGAGCTGCTAGGGATGTGTCAGGACAGGCAATCAAACATTGCTGGGACTGCTGGGTTACTTAATACATATCCTTTGTCTCATAGCTTAATAGGATCACTTTCCTTATAGTTAGCACCTATCCTTTTTCTTACATGCATACCCCATCATGTATAAACATCAGGCAAAATTTGTTTTGCCATGTCACAAAATATCTAATCCTGACTGGTGCGCAGAAAACAAACACAATGGCATTCACACTGGTATCTTACAACAGTTTTCACTTATGTAGGAAAACCATGAGTTCTGAAGCCGTTCTTAATTAGTCATTTGTCTTTGCCCTAAGCAGGATAGGATTGAAGGATCAACCTCTGTTAATAGGATTGCTGCATGTAGTAATCTAAGAGTAATGCTGATGCACTGCTGTGATTCTGCACATGGAAGTGACCTTTGTGGAGATGATACAGACAGCTCTGGGTCCCACAGTTGCTAGGAAGCTTCATTGGAGCAGGGCAGTAGGGATGCAACATGATGAAGAGCAGCAATCCAGGATATTGGGAATCATTCTGCTGATTCTTCCTGTTTTCAGAATCTCAGGAGATGGAACGAAGCGCTCAGTCCTTCTACTGTGTATGTATGTGCATGAGTGTACATGTGGATCTGTGTCAGTACATGTCTGTACTTATGTCGCTAAAGCTTCTCAGGCTTATAAATCTGTAGCCAACATGAAAACTACATCCTGACTTGGGATTGTGTGGGTTGGGGAGTGTTGTTGTCCCTGTTACAATACATTAAGGGTGAAAGCGTGGTATTAAATAGCTGGCTCTCTCTCCCTGGTTTGGCTCTCTTTCACGAGCATCCTTGTGCTGTCTGCTTCTGATCTCCACCATGCTCTGGGCTGTGTAGACCTTTAGGGTCCTGGTGGTTTCCCTGTGTGCTTTCTGTCACCATATTGTCCACAGTGGAATCACTCATCTTTGCTCCATAGGCTTGTGAATCTGCTATGATTTGAATGGATCCGGTTGACCAGGAAGTAGGCAGGGCTTACCCATGAATGGATCTTGTATTTGGGGTGGAGGACATGGCCCTCAGCTCCAGCCTACATGACTGAGCATGTGAAGCCACAGCATTCCTTCAGGAAGATGAGGCCTGTCTTTGTTACATATGGCGGGGAGGTTTGTTGTCCTCTTGATGTCATCTTCTTTTCTTTTACAGGAGCTATGAAGAAACAACCGGTTATTTCCATAAGAGCAGCACTTGACATACAGCTCTGGAGAATGAATTGCAAACTGATCTGGGAAAAAGGGGTTTCTCTGTTATCTGAGCAACTCATTAGGAAGGACTGAGTACTGGTGCTGGGTCAGAACTAACTGATGAGCATCCTGAGGACCATTTCACAGAGGGGTAAATGTCCCTAATCAAGTAGTTTCCAAAATCACAGCAAATCTTATCTCCATTATAAGCTGCACTGGTCAGTCTCTCCACTTCAAGTATTGTGTCCAGTTCTGGGCATCTCATTTTGTGAAAGACTCAGAGAAACCAGAATGGGGCAACAAGGATGATCTGGCAACTGGAAATAAAATTTTACAAGCCAAGAAACTGGATATGTTTTGCCTTGAAAAAAGTTCACCGAGACAATATGACTATACTTTTCTTGGATCTGAAAGGATATCACAGGGAAAAATCTGTCACGATCTGTTTTCTGTCATCCTAGAGTACAGAACATGAAATAATAGTCTTAAGTTACAGGAAGTCAGTTTCCAGTAGCATGTTAGAAAAAAGTCATAAATTAAGAGCAGTTTAACTGTAGAATAAATCACCCAGAGAGGTGATGGTTTCTCCTTCATCCTTAGAGATGTTCAGGCAGAACCTTACAGTATACTCAATCTGTACTCAGCTGGATATGATGGCCTAAATGGTGCCTTCTAATTCTATGTGAACAAAATGACTGAAAAAAAAGGACCCTCTGAATTAGACCAAAGATCCACCTGGTCCATCATCCTGTTTCCACCATAACCAAACAGATGTCTTTTGAAAGCCCTCAAGCAGCATGTGAACCCAATGGCAGTGTGTTCAAATGGCATGAAAGAATATTGTAACTAAAGGTTGGGAAGAACTACCTGATTGTATGAACTGTTGATCGGTGATGATGGCTACCAGATATGGGCTGCAAAAATCCAGATGGCCACTAGTTTTATTATAGTGCCACTGATATACAATCTGCATGCATTGATCAGTCAATGTAAGCTGATAACGTTACCTCTCTGAATCTGATCACAGATACTCACAATTATAGCCCTTATTCCAAGGACATTGATGCATTAATTTTCCCACCCAAATGTATACAAACTGAGATTAAGACAATGCTGACAGTGCAAGTCAGCATTGCCATCTTTAGAAGTGAAGATGAAAGGTGTTAACATCTTGGTGGTGGGAATGTGTATCAAATTTGCAGAAGACACAAATTGGATGGAATTGCTAATATCTTAAAAGTGAGAAATAACACTCAAAATAATAGGTTTAGATCAGAGAAATGGGTTGAAATTAAGACAATTAAATTTAACAGAGACAAATGCAAAGTTCTTACTTAAGAAAGAAAAATCAGATGCCCAGGTATGGGATGGGGGATAGCCAACTTGATCATGATACTTGTGAAAAAGATACTGTATTAGAATAGTGGTTGACTGCATTATTTAATTTGCTCACAGTGCAATGTGGCTGCAAAATGCAGCCAGATTGTAAATGCAATCAACAGCATTAAACTTCTGTTTTAATCACAAACAGTAATTATTCTGTTCTTTTCTGTTCAAGCTATATCCTGAGTATTGTGTCCAGTTCTAGGCATCACACTTGAAGAAGGATTCAGACAAATTGGTTCAAAGAAAGCCAGTAAGGATGGTCAGAAGACTGGAAACATAATTCTACGAAAAGAGATTTATTGAGTTTGGCATGTTTAGCCTTGAAAAAAAATGACCATAGGCATATGATAGCACTCTTCCAATACATGGAAAGTTGTCACACAGAAAAAGGTCCAGACCAGTTTTCTCTCATTTTAGAGTGCAGGGGTTGACATTATAGAAGGGCAGATTCTGGATGAATGTTACAAGAAAATTCCTAACTGTAAGAATAGTCGGAGAGTAGAAGCAATTATCCAGAAAGACGGTGGGCTTCCTGTCATTAGGGGTGTGGAAGAGGCAGCTATGCAACCATCTGTCTGGGACACTTTAGTTTGGATTCTTGCACAAAGACTGGGGTTGGACTCAATGCCCTAAACCATCTCTCCCAATCCTATGATTCTACAAGAATAAATATACAGGATAAAGTCCAGTAAATGATTCGAGCTTGCTCAATTTTGTTTAATACTGTGCAGATTTCTTTCTTTTTCTCTTTGTGTAAGCATGGACACATTATCTTATCCATAAAAAGTGGAAAAGGCAACTCCATATTTGTGAGTACCTACTTGTTTTCAGAAGGCAGGTTTTGGAAAGCTTGTTCTTTAAAAATTCAGCCATTTCCTTATCTTCTTCTCGTTCTCTGTGAAAAGAAGAGACTGCATCAAAGAATAAGTAGTTGTTGCTTATGTCTGAAAATATGATTATAAAGCAGGTGGAGTCTGAGTGACGGTTCTCCAAATCTCTGTGAAATACTTTTCTTTGATTCTTGAATTCTCACATTTAGAGCAGTAAATAGATCTCTTCCCATTGGTTGACAAGACAATCTTTAAGGATCAACAAAGGGAGTTGATGCAAAACTATCTGATCATTGCCTACATATTCTTGCTTTTTGTCCTTCTATAAAATGTTTCAAAATTCACAGAACCTCAAAGAACAATGCCACCAGTTAAGAAGGTCGAGGTAACATGTCAGATTTCTTGGGAACGCGACTTGTGATTTTCTAAGACTGGATTCCTGCCTTGGTTACTTTTCTGTAACCAACTCCTGTTGCCACATTTCCTTTGGCAAAGCCCCAACTATCTTTTAACGGTATGGTGTGATTAATGCAAAATTGGGTGTAATACAATACAGAAAGGAAGTTAAAAAATCTGGTTCTGTGTCCAAACTGTTCAGAAAGCAAACTGTTAGCAGAGTGCCTGTATGGCACAGTAGATAAAACGTTGGCCTTTGGGCAACAGCCTTGTCCAACCCAGTCCCCCACAGATCTATTAGGATAATTAGGAGCTCAGAGCCACTTTTGTGCCTTCTGAACCTAGATCTTCCTAGTGCACTTTTCCCCATCCTGGCTTCCAGTAGCTTTGCTAGGCTGCAACTCCCAGAAATGCTAATTATTGACAATGCTAGTTTGGAATTCTGGGAGTGGTAGTAACACTGGGCCTCAGCTCTGCAGTTTTATTATAGGAATAAAAAGGAATCACCATGATGTGCCTTCTTGGAATCTTTGCAGGAAGAGAGGAATGTAATGTAATCAAGAACTTTGCCAAACAATTTGGCATGTTTACCTGAGCCTTTCAAACTCTACATCATCCACAAGGAAATCCCGAGTCTCCACAAGTTTATGAATTTGTTGCACTAACTCTTCCTCCTTCTGTTTGTCTTCTTTTGATTTTTTATTTTCTGCAATATGGGGAAAACACATGTACAAACATGTTTATTAGGGAAGAGATATGCAGGTAAGATGAAAAGGATGATTCCCAGAATGGAAGAGTTCCCAGAAAGATTATCTTTTAGATAGTGGCTCCCCCAGAAGTTTTACCTAGTACTTGTCTTCAGAAACAGGAAAAGATCTTGTTTCTGAGCTCTTGAAATCCATTCTAGTTCTCCTATCTGTTTTATGCTCTTTTTGCAATTTTATGACATTTTCTTGCCTGTTAACTTTGAATTTAATGTGGTACTTGTTATATTTCTTTATTTTAATTTCAATTATGTTTTTCCTTTTGTCAGTCTCCAGGAATTGCAGAGAAGATGGCCAGACATTTCTGAGACATGCACAGCTTTCCAGAAAATGCTTTTCCTTCTCCGCACCTCCTCCTGGCTTGATAGTCATTGGGGACAGAAAGTAGACTTGGGCCCATTGTTTCCAAGCATAGCAAAATCCACTGATAGATCTGACTCTCAACAGTATGCTATGCAACATGTAACTCATAAGCCACAGACAACTCAAATAAGAACTCTTTCAACCATTGATGCTGAATTTGAATCTTGGGATCTATATAACTTTATGGGAAAACAGCGTCTTGCAAATCTTACAGCAGTCTCTGGAAGAGTGTCTTCAAGTATTGGCCTTACCTGGCAGTGTAATCAACTTCTGTAACTCCTTTTTCATCCTGCTGATTTCCTTACAAAGCTGGATATCATCCATCCTGCACAAACAGGAAAAAAACAAAACAAAAGCAGAGTCCTAAGCATGAGACACACAGAGAGGACACCTTTGTCCCAGAGACAAGGCCTTACCAACCAAGTCACTGTTGGGAACAGTGCCAAGCAGATTAGACAGTTTTCCGAAGTAGGCCATTTCATTCATTGACACTATCTGCCAGACTGCTGTGGAATATTTGTGGTTTATTATTTATCATTTTTCAACAGCAATTTTTTTACACATTAAAAAGCCTTCTAAATGTGCCACAACCTCCTCCTCCTCCTCCTCCTCCTCCTCTTCTTCTTCTTCTTCTTCTTCTTCCTCTTCCTCTTCCTCTTCCTCTTCTTTTTTTTTACCAAACTGCTTACCATACTGGGTGCCAGATGAACTTGAAGATCCTTAATGACTACAATATAATTTCCAACTAGGCTCAGTTCAAATCTGTTACATGCAAAACTGTTCAGTATAGAGCTATATCTGGTAGCTTCTGGTTATGCTAAATGTTACATCCAGCCAGCAAACCTTACAAGTTTTAATCCATACAAAACCAATTGCAAACA